TATGATGTGAATTGTACATGTACGTGTGTGTGCGTGTTTGTATCTATATATATATATATGTATGTACGCATATATATATATATATATATATGCATGTGTATGTGCTTTCAACTGGCCTGTAAATGGGTGTATGTGCACTTGCACATACTATTGTATACCAATACACACACACGAGTGTAAACGCATATATATATATATGTGTGTGTGTGTGTGTGTACGTATATGCTTGGATGGGTTAAGCTTTGAATGAGCCTAGCTTTATGCTTACGTGGAGTATGATCTTTTCTCTCCAGATCAACGATGGAGATAAGTGGATCCACGCATCTGAAACGTCGGGAGGAGTCAACCTTGCTGAGATTGACGCTGAGTCAGTGTGGCGTGATGATGTACTAAATGGATTTCAACCAGCTCTCAATTCTACCGAAAAGCTCGACCAATGGGTGCAGCATCATACAGAACAGTATGGGAGCTTCATGAACTTAGTGAGCTCTGACTACTCCCAGGTCTATCGTGCCACAAATGTGACCTACACCAACATGTACCATACCCCGGTCTCAGAGAACACTAATATTATACGACCTGAAGTGCCAAGATGGGACAGCGATTATATATTCTCGAGTCCTTCACCCTACTATGATCTGGCTAAGCTGCAAAGAAACCGTGCTGTCAAATTAAATGATACATCTGTGCCCAGCCCCGATGGTCTCCAGAATGGTGTCAATAATCTCCGACTTGTAGTCCGCTTCGACACAGGAGAAGTTGGTACTGGGCTGGACGAGGAAGCCTTCTACTTTTTCCCCGGAGCTTTCAGCGTCGATACGCATGAATTTGAGAGCGCTTGGAAGTCTACTCTACACTCTAACGGACAGTTCGAATACGACATGGCCGCCGTGCCTGAAGTATATCATCATATCATGCCTAATCTCAACAACGGCACATCTGGAGCCGCTCCGTTGTGCCCTGGAGGTCCATTTCATGAGAACATGTACTACCATGGGCTACCCGAGTCTGAGGCTGGGTTTGTGGACGATGGAATCATTCGAAACAATTACACAGTGCCCTTCATCCGTGCCGATGGGAGCCACCCTATGGACGTTCCAGTGCTCAACGAAAAGTACGTATTCGATCCCATCACCAATCAGTTGAAGATTGACTGGGCTATTGACCCCGCCAACTTCGGTACGTACACGCTAAATGGGCGTATTCGCGCACTCGTAGAAGGCGAAGATTCCGGTCAAGAGGATATCTGGTACGACGTTGATGTGGAGTACTTCTCCGTCCGCGTTGGGGACGTGGTGGCTGCGCTCGACATGGAGGTGCTCGCTGCCACACCACCAGTGTACCGAACCCACGTGTCGCAGAGCGCAACTGGACAGTACATGACTGGTGCCACCTATGACTATACCAATACTGATTCGATCCAATGTGCGGCCGGCAGTTTGCGCGACGAACTCTTTGGCCCATGGAAGGCAAATGTGAATCATTACTTCATCGAAGTGGCTGACGGATACCGGTACGAGCTACTCGCGCCCGTCGAGGGTCAGGCAATCCAGTACACCTCGCCGTTTGCAGCCAGCTTAGGCGTCAAAGATATGTACGAGCAAGTGGCCATCAATTCCGCTACTCAGATTGGGCCCGCTAGCGTAGTCTTCTCGTCCATGAATGCCGACGCGGATCAGATTGTGCCTTCGCTGGAGGATTCCCTGGCGGCACAATCCCGTAGCGTCAGCTCCTTACTAGTGGCCCGGAAGGTGCACGCAAACACTGGAGTGCCTGTGGACAGTACACAGCTGCTATTCACTGACCGGGAATTTTTGGAGTTGGCGGATGCATGTGGAGGTATTCTCTATATCCCCAGCAGCGCCAGCGAGACGTGTGATACCCCCGTCGACCACTGCATGAAGAACACCATCAGTGGACTTCAGGCCTCGCCCGAGGCCTACAAGCCATTCGGCAAGGTCGAGCTCGCCGGCGGCTATGAGAACAAATGGGGTGAGGTGCACGCTCGCGCAGAGATGGATGACAAAACTGGCAAGCTGGTTCTGCACCACCCTCGACACCTGGGCCGATTCGACGACAAGGTCCTCAACGCTGATGGCACAATTAAGTTCACGATCCCCTCACATGTAATCAACATGAAGGCGGTGGTGGACGGTGTGCGTATCGAAGAACCAGTGCTCTCCATCGCAGCCCCCAGACAGCTTGAATTCATTCGGCATGCGGATGGCCAGAAGGACGACCAGGCCTACGTCCTGTTTACTGTCCAGAATACGGGCAAGGCTGATGGAGTGGTAGATGTAAAGCTCACGTGTGACACCTTGTATCCCGCGCAGGTGGTTGTCCACTCTGAGCACATGACCGACATGATCAAACCGGGAGCCTCGGTCGAGTTCGGCTTCAATTTGCGTCTTGCGAAGCCGGTTGGTAGAAACATCAACAAGTGGGATATGGATGCGCTTAACTGTCAGTTCGAGGGCACTGTCCGGTCCAAGCCTCTCTGGGTACAGGATGGCAAGGTCGTTACCGAGACTCTTGCGCTTAAGGTCACAGACAGTCATCTCTATTCCGCCTCCGAAGAAGCCACTGAAGGCCTATGCAAATACAGTATGTGCCCACTGTGCATTGCAAACTTCGAACGGTCAATGCGCCCTCCGAATACCAAATACCATGCCGTGCCTCCTTACATGCTGTGCTGCCTTTCGTGTCGGGCCGTGCTGCCTTTCATGTCATGCTCCATTTTATGCCGTGTTATTTTGTAATGTTCTGTTACCGTCTAGCAACATACCATTCGCTTCCTCATGCTATAATTGCCATAGTGTGCTAATACCCACATGAAATACCCACAGTGTGTTGTGTGTTAGAAATGTTAGAAAAGTGTTAGAAACTATAAGCACCAACCTCAAAAATCGATAAGCTCCAACCTCGTCTCTTCGCACCAACCTCGTCTCCTCGCATGCTCACAAAGTATTCCCCGACACCTGAAACCCCGATACAGTGGTGGCGCCCACCGACGACATTGTACACGCCGAGATAGTCAGCCTGTCCGCTCCCTCTGGCACCATGTACGCCGATGGACTTCGCACAACGCCCAAAACTCTGTCGTGGAACACTGACGGCAACACCACCGAGGTGCTGATAGGAGATCCCGTATCACCTCATGCCCTTTCATACCACGGATACAGCCGCTCCGATTGGAAAACCCTCGGAGGCTATTACTCCACATTCTATTGGGCTGACCCTTGGAACCAGCACCTGGACTTTGCAGGCGTGGATGAGATGTACATGGGCAAGGTGCTGGCCGATGGGGTGGTAATGATCTCCATTGACGCCGATGCCGATGGCCACAGCGCCACTGACACCGACGGCGGTTTGGAGGTGATTAAGGTCGAGCAGCACTGCGATGCCGTGGACAACCGGGACGGTGCAGAGGATGGCCTGAAATTCGGAGTGATTGAGGTGGTGTGGAATACACGCGACAGCCGCATGGACGCCGTGCCACAGCTGTCTCTGGGCAAAGGCTCGCGCCAGGCGCTGAACTTCCAACTGGTGCACATGGGTGCGTACTCTCCTGGAGCTCCGCCGGGTCAGGACAACGACCTGAGCCGCTACGATCTAAAGGGCAAGAAGTGCTACATCACCATCAAGGCCAAGTCTGGCGACACCATGTGTAATCACTGGTCTGTGCGCGAAGTCATCAGCTTCGATCCGTTTGGCCTCAAAACCAAAGGCACATCCAAGGTGAACGTTTCTGCGGTGACCCTCAGCGCCACGCTCAACGGAATCAGCGAATCCGAAGACATGACACCCGATGCCGCGATGTCCGCGTCCGAGATGCTGACGCACACGCTCGCCAGCAGTGCTGTGAACAACGGCGCACTCTACTGGAACCAACTGTCGCAGTCCCGCCCCTGCCCCGACCACGTGGTGGGCTGTGCGAGTGAGTGCTCAGTGCTGAGCGATGAGTGCGCCCAGTGTGAGCCTGGGTTTGCTGCCGTTGTCCCGGGGCGGTGCCAGAAGTGCGAGGCCACCTACGGTATGGGGTGTACGACATGCGACGCGCACATATGCACATCGTGGAAGAACTGTGTGCTCGACTCCGGGTTCTGCCGCGAGAATCTGGTTCACCGATACGCGGTCAAGGACAGACACGGCAACAGCATCAACGAGGTGCTCAGCGACGGCGACATATTTACCTGTGCCCCCGTGGACGCCATCAACACCGGGATACGCTTCAATAGCACATCAGTCTCACCCACATCTACATGGGGCACCCGCAAGCAGAACACCCACTTCCGCAAGAACGGTGGCCGCTTCAACGGATTCGCCGACTATCTCTCTGGGTACGTGCACACGATAACATGCAGGTCAAACTGAAGCACACCATACTGCATCACACAACTCTGCAACACGCTGCGTTTGAATAATCAAGAACTATAGACTTTTTTATATAGTCGTCACACTGAAGCACACCACATTGCATCACACAACTCGATTACTCGAATGAAAAAACGGCAACATCTCTATAGCCTTTATTACTCGAATTTATATAGTCGCACACTGAAGTACACCACATTGCATCACACGTCGCCACACTGAAGCACACCACACTGTTCAAGTATAGGCTTTTTATGTAGTGTTTTTCTAACGACCATACCTTTGTAGCTTTTGTAGCCTTCTTTCTTTGTGTCGGCCTGCCAATCTCCTACTAGCATACCCCTAAAATTCATATCTTGGTGTACTCATCTGCCAACTACTCCCCAAACAGAGTCGTCGGTCCTGCCCACGGCAACCGCAAACTAGATTGGAACGCATATGTGATGCGTGATAATCAGTACGTCGACACCCCATGGGCCATTATGGATGCATACACAATTCCAACATTTTGGGGTATTACTATCTACCCAAACTACCCGAACTGGATCAGTCCCCAGAAGAATCAGTATGCCGACAAGCCCCGCACCTGGATGGCCGGACGAATTGCCGCCGAGGCATTCTTCAATGGACGCGTAGACTACGGTCTGGTGGACACTGCAGATCCAGTGTACGCCACTAACAACTACCTGGATGTCTCCCTGGGCGAGGTAGTGGTGCTCGACAAGGTCCAGTCAAGCGGTCTCAACATCCGAATGCAGGCGGCCGAGTGGGCGTACACTCCCAACACTGTCCACCGTGACCAGCACGTGTGCCGCAAAGCCTCGGACTTCACAACCTTCACCCAGAACGTCGACAACAAGCTCCTGTCACTCCCCGAGAAGTACGCCCAGGTCCACGCACTCAACAAGTGCGCCTACTGCCCCAACAACCAGCAGATGAAGATGGGTATGGCGAGAGGCAGGCCATACGCATCTTCAACGGTAACACTCCACCATATGCCTCAAGATTGCGTGCAGGAGGACGTCGAGGGAATGATGGCGCAGGGTTCTAATTTTGGCTCCAAAAATGCGGGCAGCATTGACGAGTGCATCGCCGAGTACGGCGTCACCCAGCCCTTCGGGTCCACGTTGCGCCTAGACTACGCCAACATCAATCCAGACTACTACCTCAACGACATCGAGTATTGGGGTCTACCCTGGGAAGGCACAGGTTTAGGCAGAAACACACTCCCAGCGGGTGCGAAGGAGACTATTTATTTCGAAAAGTTGCTAAAACCCTTCTGTGACTTGGTGATGCTCGAGGTGCTTTAAGCGCCAGACGCATACGGCGCCGACGTTGATGTAGTCCGCAAAATTGTAGTCTGATACGTACACGGTTGCGATCGAGCTACATCGGGGTGGTATATTGCGTCCTCTGGGTCTGCCAGACAACAATCTCATATCGAGAGATCGAAGGATTCTAGAGTGACAGTATAAACCCCCAACCAGAGCAGCTGCGCCAAGATATCGCTAGGGTGGATGAAGTTGTAGTGACGGCTACTGTGTAGCATCTCTATAGCCTAATAAAAGTCACATATATTATCCTTTTGTAAATCATCATTTTGTAAATCATTTTGTAAATCATCATTAGTTCATCATTTTACAAATTCTGCAGAGTCGTTCTTAATGCTTGTCAGACATAAATCTATGTTGTACATCAAATAGTCTTGATAAATCTATCAAGGAGTCGTGAGCTTTACCTATTATCCATCCATCCATCCATCCATACTTCCATACACTACATACTACACTACATACATACATACATACATACATACAAACATACATACATACATACATACATACACACATGCATAAATACATACACAAATAAATATATCCACAAATACATATATATATAAATACATACATACATACATACATAAATAAATACATACAAACATACATAAACACATACATACATACATACATACAAACAAACATACATACATACATACATACATACATACATATGTACATGCATAAATACATATATACATACATACATACATATATATATACATACATACATACATACATACATACATACATACATACATACATACATACTTACATACATATATATTTACTTACATAAATACATAAATACATACATACATACATATATACATACATACATATGTACATAAATACATGCATGCATGCATATTTATGTACATATGTATGTATGTATGTATGTATGTATGTATGTATGTATGTATGTATGTATGTATGTATGTATATATATATGTATGTAAGTATGTATGTATGTATGTATAGTATGTATGTATCGTGTGACAAAATGCACAATTGTAGCATTACTTGGGCCCACACACACATATAAACTAAATATATATATGTGTGTGTGTATGTGTGTGTGTGTGTGTGTGTGTGTGTGTGTGTGTGTGTAG